AAAATTTTCTGCATAACAACTGCGAGCTCTCAGTTCCCACTCCTTTATCTTTTGTATACAATTCTCCACTGTGATGCCAGTATCATTGATGAATGCATTCAAGCACCTTAATTTGAACTCTTCCATGCCTAGCAACTCTTTTTTCCCATGTGTAGAGGGCCAATAGAAACCGTATGGGGTGTATAAGCTTTTTCGTTGTTCTCTCGAATTTGTTTTGGAACTCTATAGATACAACAGTTAGGTGGGACGGAAGGTAAGTCAAGTATTTGCTCCTTAATGGAATTTGCCAATGAGATTTGGGGATCTTCCACTGCATCTATAATTAAATGGTCTTCTTCCATTCTTTTGATCCACGCTTTTCTTTTACTAATGACATTTACAGAGGAAAGGCGACATAATCAACACATTCTTCCTTCACGACATATTAAGCATTTCTTTTAGAAACAGTTAGCTACAAGGCAGTGCTTGTAGGAAGTTGTGATCTAAATTAGGGAATATTGTACATTGTACCTTGAAAATTTTAAAAAATTTTACTTTATACCCTTAAAGATTAGATTTTCTACATTAGACCCTTAATGTATAAAAAATATTATAATATAATCCTTCTGTTAGTTTCCATTACTAATTTTGTCAACTTCAATAAGATGGGTTTTGACAGAATAAACAACTGAATGTAATATAATGGTCATATTACAACACTTTTAAGACATTGAGAGTACAATGTAAAAAATCTCATCTTTGAGAGTTCAAAGTAAAAAAGTTTAAATCTTTTGGTGTGCAAGGTGAGTTCTCCCTAGAAATTACAGTATCTATTTTGCGGTGTAGATGCCAAATCTAACCCTCAAGTAAGGGGTAAGACTTTGGTGCCAAAAAGAGGTACCGTAACCAAATTTACATTTTTTTTTTGAGTGAACTTACAGTTAAATGAGGTCAGGTTATGACAAAAGAAGTTAGAATCGATCCAAAAATATTAGAATCGATCTCAAACCATCCCAATTTTGTTATAACTGCAACCCACAAAATTTGTAACTAGAGACAAAAAAAATTATAAATTTTGGTATATTACTAAATAACAAATTATTAATACCACAGTGGTAAGAGATTCAAGCATGGCAACGAGAAAACAGGTAGATGCCGAAAGACAAATTCAGAATGCAAAAAGGATAAGGAAGAAGATGACAAGCTTATTTAATCAACATACCTTGAATATATTTGATGTCTGCACAATAATATACAAAAAAATTATTCGCAGATAAATAAAAAGAAAGCATAAATAAACTAGGAAATTATCAATTCAACTCACGTCTTTAAGGACCTCTCTATGCCACGTCTTGTGCGATCTAGCAAGTGTAAGTAACCAAAACAACTATAAACATTAATATATAGTCACCATAAAGGATTGCTTTGCTTAGACATTATTCCAAGGCAAGTATTGTTCTTTTTGCCTAACTAAAATTGGTAAAGTTGGTTATTTGCTTAGTCTTAGCCGTCAAGCCACCGAAGAAAGAGTAAACTCCAAACAATGCATTTTACAAGCATTTTTTTTTTTTGGGTAAGTCAAGGAAAGTACTGTTGGTACTAGTTCATCCTAATTAGTGATTTTTTTTTGTTGGTTTATGAAAAATTGAGAAAAGAAAAGGGCACAATGGTCGACTAGATTAAACTCAAATATCACACCAAAATGGCCTAGATGTTCTTGAAACGAGGATTGAACTTTAAGAATAATTGAACATTTCGCCGTTGTGGCAATATAGCTAAACCTAGGAAAGTTGATTCTTTACTTTATCTTCTCAATCAAGCCTTCAGAAAAAAGAGACAAAAGAAGTAAAGACGATGCAACACTGAATGATTTCATTTTTGGTTGAAGAGTATCTCCATGCTTACTTCAAAGAGTGGCACAAATTTAACAAGCCAAATGTTACGTATGAGAATGAGCTTTCTTCTCATGGCCTCTCTGGGATGGACATCATTTTGTATTCCCACAAATTTTCTTTTCTGCTAGCTTTGGCTCTGTCAAGCGTAGGTAACCCTAATGCTATACTAATGTTCCAAAACACACCAAAATTAAAAACCCAAGACAAACATAAGTAACAATACATTATTTGTGACAGTATAATCGTATGTTGTTAAGTGATTGGTTCATCAGTACTAGTTAGTGATGCAAGGAAGAGTGAAGCAAAAATTTGGATCAGACAACAGAAACTATAATTTGTTCATTACTGCAATACTACCAAATTACAGCCTTCAAGAGCCTTGTTGATTCCTAAGAATACCCAGATAATTAGAATTGAAAGAGAACTAGTCTCTAAATTTTATTCAAAACAAGCCAAAGCTGCTGAATACATTTTTAGCAAAATATAAATAAGAAACTCTAATGGTCCTAGATTACTAGAAAAATCAATTAGAAATGAAATATTACGAAAGTAACCAAAACGGCGGAATAAAAATAGAAAAATGTCCTAACCGTTGTTTTTGGTTTAAAAATGACTAGAGTAAAGGCAAAGGCTTCAATCTTTGTCAGATTGCCGAGAACTTTAAAAAATAAGGTCTTTTGTAACATTTGTTCAAGTGCTAATATTTGTTCAGGTGCTATAATAAAAGGGGGCAGCGGATCCTCTGTTGTTCTAAAAGAACAGCACATTGTGCTATTCCACAAGACGGTAACGTTTTGTGAGCTATGACACCAGCAATTGTAATCCCTTTTCCCACCGGTCAAAATTTGAAGTTTTTCAAATAAGAACATTGCGTTGGAAAAACATATGATTAAAGTTTATATTCCATTATGGTATTGAAAGTTTATTTTTGGAATTAATTAGAGTACTGAAAAAATATTTTTTTGGTACAATATTTTAGATTTTCTAATGAAAAACTATGACGCATTCAAAATTTTCCTATTTTATCATAAAATGCAGAACAATGACAAAATATGGTATCATACTTTAATTTTTTATCCAATAAAAATGTGATACATGTAAAAATTTTATATTTTTTTTACAATTCAAATTTGAATTCATTAAAATAAAAAAAATTATATTTGAATTCGTTAAAATAAAAAATTCAAATTTGAATCTGTTAAAATAAAATATTCAATCTAATCCGAACAACTTTGTACTCGAGTTTTAGCAAATTACATCATAATTTTGACACAATCTCATCAAATAATTATTTTATTTTATACATATAATTCAGGTCGGATAACAATCCTAATAAAAATTAGATATATCCAATATCCAAAATCATAAACTGTAATATAATCGATTAATGTTTGGAATCGAATTTGAAATAAAATATATTTACTTTTCGTTTGGCAAATTTACTCGGATTAGTTCAATTTTTTTATTTTTAATGGATTCAAATGTGTTGTAAAAATAAAATATAAATATTTGACACATCTCACATTTTTATTGGATGAAAAGTTAAAATATGATACCATATTTTGTCATAGTTTTGCATTTTGTCATATAATATGAAAAATTTGAACGTGTCACATTTTTTAATTAGAAAAGCTAAAATATTGTACAAAAAAAATTTTTTTGGTAATCTAATTAATTCCAAAAATAAATTTTTTGATACAATAATTGAATATAAACTTTAATCATTTGTTTTTTCAGTGCAAAGTTTTTACTTGAAAAACTTATAATTTTGACCAATAAGCAGGTGATTGCAATTGCTATTTGTTGGTGCCATTTGTCGGTATTCACAAGATGTTGAGGTCTTGTTGAACTGTACAATGTGCTGTTCTTTTGAACAGCAGAGGATCCGCTCCCAATAAAAGGGTCCGTTAAGTGACTTAGAGACGGGGTTTTTGAATAAATTTTGTTTAGAATCTCTCTCAATTCTTATGTTTGATCGAGTATTTTCATATGTCTTTAAAAACTTCAAGGATATCAATAGATGCAAAACAAAAAAATAATGGTGGTAGTGGCACTGGTGGTGTTGACAAGGTAAGATCTATTGATCATGCTTTTACTTAGTTGGGCATATTGTTGGGCTGTTCTTTCAACATAAACCTATAAGCCTCTATCTCTTCACCTGTTTTTTTTTTTTTTTCACATATAAAAATTTCCCTTTTGGGGTATCATCTTCATCAGCATGATCAATGTGAGTTTCTTTCTGACAGATCAATGTGGCATCTTCATCTTCATCTTTATCATCAGTAGATACGAACCAGGTAGTGTTTTGCCAATAAATATATTCTTTTCAATATGATTGATTATTAAAAAAAATATCTGTGGGTTTCTTTTTGACAGATCTTTCTTAATTATTATTTATGTTGGTTCCATTTAATATATATTTGATCTATTTGTTAAACTGATGTTTGCTCCCAACTACACCACTATTGTCTAACAGTCATTCTGGGCTTTTTTTTTTTTTTTTCTCGGCAAGTAAGATGAAATCATTAAAATAAAAAAATACAAGGTGATACCATGGGATGACAGATCTTCTGAACAGGGGAGAAGAAGATCAACCATCCCAATCAGCAAAATAAAATACAAGGAATACAAATCCAAAAAGACTGAACAAAAAATGTACAAAGCAGAAACTTATCTGATGGAGCATCCAGAAAAGAAAAGAAGGAGGGAGCAGCCAACAAAACCAATGAAACATCAGTAGCAATCAGAACCCCCATTCCAAGCAACAGCAAGAAAGCAGCAGGAGGCACCCAAAAGCCTCTCAAGTAGACTAGGCTCCAACAAGCCCAAGTAGTAGCAGGTCAAGACAAACACCAGCAACACGCCACATGCCCACAGGTGGAACGTCCAGCAATCAGAAATGCAGCAGAGTGGTAAGAGCAAAATGCAGTAGAGGGAGAGAATCCTCCACAGGTGGAACACCCAACATGTGTTACAACATGGCCCCGTAAGCTTACCCACATAGTGATACAAAGCACAGGCCATCCCCAGCAGGCAGAACAACCAACAACAACAAACAAACAGCACCCACACAACACGAAACCCCAAGCAAAAATAGAGGATGAACCATCGCATCATTGACGCGACCAGAGCATCACACCCTCCACACATACCTCACAAACAGACGGGTCACAAGCATTCCCCTGGAAAGGCCAACACCAACGAGTAACAACCACATACGGTGAGTCAAAGAACAAAGATATTGTCAGGCAAGGCCCATTGTCTTTGCAACCATGCATTAGGATTGTTTCTTTTGATTCCATGGTAGGCATGAAGCTCGAGTCTAACATTTTCCACTACCTCCTTATAAATGAAGACCACATCTCTATAGGAGTTTTTAAAAACCCTGTGATTACTCTCCCTCCAAATCATATAAATTGAGGTGGCGATCATCAATTTGCCAATCAATTTTGGAAAAGCATTTTCCTTCATATTTGCAATGTACCAGTTAACCAAATCAAAGCCAATCAAGTCTTGGCCATTGGACATTCACTTTGTCTTTCAATGAAATCCATATTCTCTCAGTGAAAGATCATTCAAAAAAGAGTTGGTTATGAGTTTCCACTACTTCTCTACAAAACACACAATGAGTTAAATGAATAACACCATACAATATAAGCTTGTCTTGGGTGGAAAGCTTGTTTTGAACAGCCAGCCATAAAATAAAACTGTATCTAGGCACAACACCAGAATACCATACAATATCAGCCCAATCTTGCATCTGGCCTTTCACTCTAATTACCTCCCAAGCAGATTTAGAGCTAAAAATCTTGGTTCTAGAAGGCAGCCACAAGACACAGTTCCTCTGACTCATGACAGGTTTCATATTAGGAGAAATACCTCTTAGCAGCTCCATCATGTCCCCATTTGTTGTCGGCCATCACCATTATTAATTATAGAACTAACTTTAGCGTCTCTCCCAAACCCTGATTCCCTAATAATGGACTCTCCCTTATGCTGGTATATAGAACCTATTGGGTGCCATGGATCAAACCAGAGAAAAGTTGAGTCACCATTCCCAATCTTGTAATTCACCATTTCTAAACTTTCCTTTCTCAAATTTAGAATCTTTCTCCATGCCCAAGATGACTTTTAAGGAATTTTCACACTCCAGAAGCTCCTGCCTTTTATAAGATATGAATAAATCCAATCCACCCATATTGAGTTGTTACTTTTGCTTATAACATTCCATAGATGTTTCATAATAGCAGCTTTGTTCCACTGTTCCATGCTTTTAAACCCAAGTCCCCTTTCACCCTTTGGGAAACACACTTTTTCCCAAGCCACCTTGGCTCCAGACATTTTAAGATCCGTACCAGACCATAAGAATTTTCTCATAATTTGCTCCACTACTTTGACAACTTTTTTTGGCAATATAAATAAAGAAGACCAAAAACCTTGAATTGAAAAGAGAATTGAGCTGATCAGTTGTACTCTGCCAGCATATGAAAGTGACTAGTTGCTTTCCCGATTCCATTAATCATGTCCATCTTTTAATTAAGAATAAGATTTATTACCATACAATCAAACCACTATATATTTAGGGATATGCATAAGTAAGTGAGTAACATAAACTATACAATATAATGCGTACATGCTCATATTATAACCAACATTAATTGCACCTTCATATAATCTTTCTAATTTATGGTGACAATTTTATATTTCTTTTTGAGTTTGTTCTAAATTCCTCATCATCCTGTTTCAAACTCAAAAGGCACGAAGCATTGCAATATTGATGTAATGTTTTATATATCATCATTGAATGGTTGACTTGTGTGATAGGTATATATTAGCGATATCCCATAACTAAAGTCACTGTACACTAAATGATTACATTGTGCATGTATTGAAATGTGTGTGTTGGAGTGTGTATGTATGTGCAACTGTATGTTGTAGAGCGTGTCTGTTGGGTTTTTGAAATTTGGGGGGAAGGGGAAGTGTGTGTTGGGGGTGTGAAATTTGGGGGGGGGGGGGAGGAAAAATATACCCCCATAAGTTCAAACACCTATCTGATTTATTATATAGATTGTTGCACCAGGAACTTACCTTGGCAGTAATCTTCTCAACCAGCGGCTGACAATCCCCAGCCTTCAATTTAGTGATAATGAGAGGAACACCCAAATATCTCCCAGGCAATTCACCTTCTGGAAACCCCATTAACTGCATGATCTCCACTTTATCCTCATTATTAATGCCAGAGCAGTAAAAAAAATGTTGGAAGCACTCTGGAAGTTACTAATTGTTTCCCTTTCTTGATACTTCAAACGGTGGCTTGTCTTCTTCTTTTTATTTTTTAAGCTCATCAACCAATGAACGAACAATTGTCTTAATTAAGTTTTTGTTGTTTGGGTCTACTGAAAAAAGTTTTGATTTAATGATGTCTCTTAAAAACTGACAAATACGAAAGCAAAATGAGGAGGTTAAGGCATATGGTGCTAATGTTGACGATAACATTCTTTATGTTGAGGTTGGTTTTTGAAAGTTTTTTTATTTCTCCTCTTATGCAAAATTTTCTTAGATATTGTACACTTTTGGAATATCTGGTGAGTGATGAGGTTGGATTGGTTTGATAATGATCACATGATGAGAAAACTTATGCACTTAAACAAGATCATTATTTGTCTTCAATCAATTGAAATTGACTTTTATATGAATTTAGTGAATAGTAAGTGACGAGCTTAGATCTAATTGGGCCAGTCAGTAAATCAAGCAAGTCTAAATCCATTAGGAAGGCAGCCCAAGCCCGGTTCATCAATCCGACCCAATCCAAGATTCAATGAGTCCATGAAGAAAGAAAACGTGGGGTACAGATCATCGGGACACATAGTCTCAAAGATTTAGGCTACCTTAATTGTACTTACCTTTGTAACTATCATCCCTGAAGAATTAGTACCCTCACACTCATGTCACTGCCTCACCATGCCTATAAATTGTAAGCCCTCTCCTTTGAAAGGGGCATCTCACCACACTTCTCTACACACACACACATAACTTCTCTCTCGGAGCTAACAATTGCTCTCTCCCCCGTTTACCCTACTTCATCAATAAAGACCCCCCGACCACCGTTGTTGTTTTTCAAAGTAGAGTATGTCACCCAAATCGAACCACTATATATCTATGTATTGACTCAATATTTACATTACTATTATTGATTGTTTTATTTATTGTCAATTAATTATATCTTATCACACACTCGACTATTGATCTTGCATAAGACTATTTTGTACATCATCAATTTGACATTGTTTGTGAGAAACAACTAAGTTTTCTATTACCTTGCTATCCATGACATTCAAGACTAGGTCGATGAGTCAACAACCGGGAGATAACAACCCGCCCATCGGGAGGAGGCTCTGTCTCCCCTCGCACCCTCGGAACTATCCATTGCGGCAATTCTTGCGATCGGGCAACAACTTTTATAGACCATGCAACTGCTAGTAAACCAGAACCAGTAAATCATCCAATTGATGCTCACCTCGGGAGGCGTCGCCCTTCAGCCCGTAGAAGGAGCACCACTCCCTCAAAGGGGAGAAACATAACAACCTCTCCACTCTGGGCGTCAAGCTGCCCCCATTGTGGAGCCTCGTGCCAAAATGCCCCCGGACAACTCTTGGGTGCCCTCGCCTAGGAGTCCCTCCTCAGTGCGCAAGAAGTTCACCTGTTCCCCCTCCTCATGTACCTATGCAGGAGGACGAGGGAGAAAACCAGTATGCCGATCATGAAAGCCATTATAACAACCTGAAGGAAGATGTCCCCAATCAATGGGACGAGAAGATCAAAGAGGTGTAAAACCAACTCGGCGATGCCCTTAACGTCATCAAGGCACAAGCACCCGATACGGTGGATTACTTGGTAAGGCGCACTGATATTCTGTTTGTTACAGACATTGTCAATTACCCCCACCCTCGAAGTTCAAGATGTCTACCATCAAGATCTTTGATGGTACCAAGGACCCTTTAGATCATCTTGACACCTATAAGTCTCTCATGCAACTCCACAACGTGATTGATAAGATCATGTGTAGAGCATTTCCCACCACCTTGAAGGGGTCTGCTTGACAATGGTTAGTGAACATCAAACCCTCCTCTGTCTACTCCTTCGTGGAGATAAAAAAATCTTTTGTCTCCCACTTCATTGGGGACGCTGACATCAGAAGCCTATTATCCACCTACTCACTATCAAGCAGGATCGAGATGAAAGCCTTAGAAGCTACTTCACTCATTTCAATGAGGAGGCTCTCCACATCAAGGAGCCAGATGATAAGGTAGTTCTAGCCGCCTTTATTCCTAGTCTACACTCCTCTAGCTTTATGTTCTCTGTCCTCAAGAAGCTACCCTCTAACATGCCTAAGCTATTGTCAAGGGCACAAAAGTACATGAACGTTGAGGACGTCACCAAAGCTCATCTAGGTGATTCCTCCCGAGGAGGGAAAAAAGGAAGGTAACTCGTGAAGACAAGTGGGAGGTAGAGAAAAAGAGAAAGAAAATCGAGAGAGTCTCTGTCAAAGACCGTCTCGATCCTGTACCCCCGAGAGAACGAAAGCCTTTCATGCCACTCAACGCCTCAGTGGAGTACATCTTATTCCAAACACAAGATGACCCCGAGCTCTGCTGGCTCAAAAAAATGAAATCTGACCCAAAGCGCAGGAATCCCAATAGGTACTGTCGCTTCTACCACGACCACGGCCATGACACTGATGACTGGTTCCAGTTAAATAGACAAATCGATGAGCTTATTCAGCATGGCTGGCTGAGGCAGTATATTGCTGGCCAAGGACCCGCTCCACAATCCAGTCAAAATTAGGAGAATCGAGAGCGCCAGTAGCCCCTCGGAGAAATCTAGACTATCGCCGAAGTGTTAGGAGGAGGAGGTGACTCCAATTCTGCCAGAAAGACACACACCCAAAAAGTCAGATAGGCAAAGTCACATGACTCTCGCCCAAGGAAGACGCCCTGGCACGGGGATGAAGAAGTCATTACCTTCTTAGACAGGGACCTCGAAGGGATTCAAGTCCCTCATGATGATCCTTTAGTCTTGACCCTGATGGTAGTCAACTACCATGTTAAGAGGATCTTGGTTGATAGTGACAGCTCAACCGATATTCTGTTTGCAACAGCTTTTGACAGCCTTCATCTAGGCAAAGAGAGATTACAGCCCATCAGGACTCCCCTTATTGGTTTTTTGGGAGAAAGGGTCTATCCCTTGGGTTCCATCACCCTGTCGATTACAACAGGAATAACACTAAGGAATTCCACCATCATGGTAAATTTTATTGTACTTAACTATCCCTCTACCTATAATATAATTATTGGACATTTTGCCCTCAATACCTTATGTACAGTGTCGTCCATCTATCACATTCTTCTCAATTTTTCCATCCACCAATGGGATTGGAGAGATCGGAGTAGACCAAGTCTCCGCCCGAAAATGCTATGTGGCCTCTACGAGGACCAGAAGGCCAAATGAGACTCTCCAAGTCGAAGTACTTGACCTGAGGGATGAAAACACCTTGGAGAGAGGGGAACCAGTAGAAGAACTTCAGCCAGTAGCAATGGATCACAGCTTTCTAGATAGAAGAGTCTATATAGGCTTCTCATTTTCCTAGGAGCAAGCATCCCGACTTGATAGACTTCCTCAGTCAGAACACGAATGTCTTCGCCTGGTCCCACGAAGACTTGGAGGGCATCAATCTCGAAGTGGCATCCCACTGACTCAACGTCGATCCTAGGTACAAGCCTATCCGCCAGAAGTGTAAGTACTGAGAGAGGCTAGGCCATGGAGAAGCAAGTAGAGAAATTACTAACAAATGGGTCAGTAAGGGGGGTAGCCTACCTAGACTTGCTATCCAACATAGTGTTGGTTACGAAGGCCAATAGAAAGTGGCACCTCTGCGTGGACTTTACGGAGCTCAACAAAGCTTATCCCAAAGACAGCAACCCTCTCCCATGCATCAATCTCCTTATTGACGCCACCGCTGGACACAAGCTATTGAGTTTTCTGGATGCCTACTCTAGGTACAACCAGATCAGCATGTTCCCTTTAAACTAGAAGAAAACTTCATTCATCATCCCTAAAGGCACCTACTGTTGCAGGGTGATGCCTTTCAGACTCAAAAATGTCAAAGCTACATATCAATGGCTCATGAACAAGATGTTCGAGGCTCAAATCAGAAAGACTATGGAGGTCTACGTAGATGATATGTTAGTAAAAAGTATGGTTGTGGCAGACCATATGACACACCTCCAAGAAACCTTTGATGTACTGAAAGCCTACAGGATGAAATTGAATCCTGAAAAGTGCGCATTTGATGTCAATTCAGGAAAATTCTTAAGCTTTATGGTCAACAAAAAGGGCATTGAAGCTAACGCAGACATGATCAAAGCCATCTTGGAGATGAAGTCCCCAGCCTCGATAAAGGAGGTCCAATGACTTAACGGGAGGATAGCGGCCCTCAACATTTTTGTCTCTAAATCAGCAGATAAATGCTTGCTTTTCTTTAAAATCCTCCGCAAGTCTTTCTAGTGGAGACCAGATGTAGAGGAGGCCTTCCAAAAACTTAAGGCTTATCTCGTCACACCACCTTTGCTCTCTCATGTTGTACTGAGAGAGACTCTATACCTCTACCTTTCCTCTTCATCCTCTGATGTGAGCTCTGTCATCGTTAGTGAGGATGAAGTCATCCAGAAGCCTATGTACTATGTATGACGAGCATACCGAGGGGCAGAGGTAAGGTACTCGGAGCTTGAAAAGTTAGCTCTTGCACTTGTCACTGCCGCTAGACGTCCACGCCACTACTTTTAGAGCAACACCATTATGGTTGTTACAAATTAACCACTTAAAAGATTTTTGGGAAAGCCTGATGTGTCTGGTCGACTACTCAAGTGGGCCGTCGAGTTGAGTGAGTTCAATGTGCATTACCAGCCGAGGGCAGCCATCAAAGCACAAGCACTTGCAGACTTCTTGGCCGAGTCAATGCCGCCACAAGAGTTTAGGGAGGAAGCAACACGCTCCTCTATGCCCACCTGCTCAATACATACTACCTCCACCCACCATAAAGCTAGCCTAGACACTACCTCGAGAGGACTCGACATCTCAGAGACAACTTCACAGGCCCCGGGAGACCCCGCTCTGAGACTAGAGGTGCCCGACTCCCTTGTGCCTATTCC